TCTCATTTCCGCATTGAGATCACGGACGTACCGAAACAGCTCTGGCGCAACATTTTAAACCTTTAGAACGCTCAGGAGATTCGTTGTGAGATTACAAACCTTGATAACCGCGTTTCAATTCAGAGCTCAACGACTTTTGAACAGCCAGCCTTGTTTCCAGATCATGTATCTGTAACGTTCTGCTTGAAACAAGTCCAAGATACCGGAAAGACACGAACCTTGCCCTCCGAAGCCTCCCTCCCTATTTCTTCGTTTTCCTCTTGCAGCGTACGACACTTTGCCATGAGCATTTTGCCGTTTTTACTGTGCGGAGTGAACTGGACAGCAGCAAGATCGTCAGTCAGCTCTTTGGCCTTCTTTTCCGCAATTTCCAGCTCCTTCTAGACTTTGGAAGTCACAACCTCAGACAGTGTTACCATTGTCTGGAAAAGACTAACCTTCATACGTGTAAATTCTACATCTATAGCAGTTATCTATCTTTCACGCACGACCATCCAAGACCAAAAACATTGATATCTCTAGATAGAAAATGTCAAAGCAGCCGGCAATGGAGAAGTTGAAAATTGTTTGCTAGTCCAGTAGCTACCAGTCAATTTCCTTTCTTCTTAGTGATTGAGCCCATTGGGGCCAGATGGTACTATGGGGAAGAGCAACTTACTCGGTATTTTTGAAGTAAAATATAGAGAAGTGAACTGTTTAAGGTTCTCTGGATGGCAATCTTCACCTAGATCGACGCAGCAACTGCTTTCTTAGATTCTGTGTGTTGCCACCATGGTTTAGTTGAAACGGTGTTGGTGGATTGTGCATCCACAGAATTCCTTACATGTAAAGGCACAAGGCTGCCAGATAACCTTTAATTTCATTTGTTCCAAGGAAAATGCTGCTGTGAAATTCAACCAAAGTGTGGTAGTAACAAATTCAACCAAAGTGCAGTAACAACACAATCCAAGACTGCAGTGGCTGCCAAACAATCTTTGTAAGCTGCCCAATCAAAGCAGGATCACCATCCAGAAAACTCTAAACATCCCTTGTTTATATTTTAACCTAATCGAGATTAGGGCATGAGGACGACTTGCCTGCGTCACGCAAGTGCCAGGCCAGAGCGCGGGCCTCGGGACGACGATCGCAGGCCGCCTGCAAAGCGCTGGCCTAGCAGCAGGGACGACGATGGAATGGATCGCAGGCACTCTAGCTTGCGCAAGCGACGCTCGGGCAAGCGCAGGCACGACGATGGAATGGATGCCTCTAGCTCCCGCAGGCCACGCTCGGGTGACAGGCCGCGCTCCAGGAGCCCCAAGCGCAGGCGTAGCAGGAGGGGCGACGCCTCCCCGAGGCGTCCATGCACGGAGGAGGCAGAGGAGGAGGAGGAGGAGGCCACTGGTTGGGTCCCCATTCCAGGCAAGCTCCACCCCACCGGACTGGATGAGGTGGTGGCTATGAAGTATGGCTTCTTTCCAGTTCGTAACAGGGACACTCCTCGGGACGAGGATGGGAAGAAGAGCGACATCTTCTTGTGCGACAAGGCTGCCTACCAGGTGTTCAATGATGCTCATCTCCGAGGAACGGAGCTGGGCACCTGGGTGACCAAGCGTCTCCGTTTCGGTGCCTTGTTCGCACACCACAACTACGACCAGGTACCGGGCTGGAGGGTGATCACATTGTTTGGGCGACCCAAGGCAATGCTGCCAACCCGAAGCAAGACGGTGACTTTCAATGAAGAAGTTTTCTACTTGATCGATCGGTACTGATTCTTCTTTTCCTGGCAGGTCATTCTGCAATGGCTTAAGCTCCATGGCCAGCAGGATGATGCTGAATATGTGGAGTCGGCTAATCTGTTTGCCGATGCAGCCACTGGTATCGACGGAGGCGCTGGCTCCTGGAGGACTGTTTTCGTGTGTGGCAACACCAAGTTTGCAGAGCTGCTCAGGGAAGACTTCGCGGGTTTACAGCAGCTGTTTCTGGAGTGCCGGGCAGTGGACAAGCCTCGTGACGTTCCTTTCAGGGTGTGGCACGTAACAAGCCAGAGTTGCTCTCAACTCGAGGAAGAATGCCTCAATGAGTCGGAGCAGGACTTCTCGTATCAGAGGGGAGGCTGGGCGTACCTGAGGGAGAGTGGAATCCCGAGGCCAGCGTCAGGAAACTGCCTGCGACGAGGTGAAAGAGTTTGAGCTCTACTTGAAGAGCTCTCACCTTCGTCGTGGTTCCATGAATGGAAGCTTATAGCAACACAGACCTGTGTGCTTAAGGAAGGAAACTGCTGTTGTTTCCTATTCCCAAGATATATTAATAATGAAAAAGGTTCTTTTTCTCTAGAACACTAGTAACACTGCCCAATCTCCCATTCTGCAATTCTCACAAGAGAAGAGGAGAAGGTTGATAATCCAAAGTTAATGATTTGTACTTGCCTAGTTTTTGAAGTGAGAAACTCATCATGTGACATGTTCTAATAGCTTTTGGAATATCAACTTCCTAACTTTTATAAATACTTGATATATTTCAAGGATATTCAAATTTTAAAATGCATTTATCTTCCGGACTTCCAAAATATGTATTTTACAGAAGGCCCATATCACAATGCCTTACAAAAAGTAGCATGTAATAAAACAATCTTAACAAAATAGGTTAAGCTCGATAGTAATGATCCAAATGCAAGACAACATACATATATTGTAATATGTTTACATATGGCAATGTTGGCAAAAGCAAAGAATTATTCCTCAACCATTTCTTTTAAATACCAAGTTATACAACTTATGTATTAAAATAGGTGTTATATCATTTGACAATATTAAAATAGGTAATGATGTAATTTACTAAAAATTTCAGTAAACTATTGTTGCAAGAGGCTTTTTGCTGTTATTTGCAAGAAGCATGCAATTTTTAAATGCTTACACAGATTTCACTTTAATATATATTTTTTACAGTTTACAAGACCCACTATATCTTTGGGATATTTTTAAAGGGTCATATTTTTTGTTAGAATAAATACTGCATGAATACCCAATTTATCTTTGGGATAATTTGAAGGATCAACTTTTTTGCTAGAATAAATATTGCATGCTGATATAAACTTGCTTTAATAAACATCAACTCAAGAATGAAAATACATAGTAAAACAACCCAATCATACAACTTACCTACTCAATCAACACTCAATTGTAATCATTCATATATAGAAAGTTACCATGATTTTGTAAATTGGAATATTGAATAATTAATTATATTCAATGAATTTGTTAATACTATCAAGTGTTCAACCAATAGTATCCACTTTATTTTTATTGATGGCCCTGGTAGCACTAGAAAAACATATTTGCTAAATGCAATGATGCTTTATTTCGTTAAAGTGGAACTTATTCAGTAAAGTGGGACATTAATTAGCATGTATCCACATGCCATTTCCTAGTACTTAATTAATATTTATTAATATTTCTATCAGTTTTTTAATTTATTTTTTATATTTCACAATATTATAACACAAAATCATATAAAAAGTTTATAATTTATAAATTATAAAGCTAAAACTTCAATTTTTTATTGTTGTTATAAAAATGGCATGTGGCCACACACCATAAGTGGGATAATGAAAAGTTCCACTTTAACGAAATAAAGCATAATGATAAAGTATTTTGAGTTCCATAAAAAAAAGTTGGCTTTATTTATTGATCAAGTACTATTATATAATCCAATTGTTGGAGACATGTTTCTTATAAGAATAATGATACAATCTTCTTTTAATATCAATTTGTGCAATGGTAGTCTAAATGGAGTAATAGAGTTAAAACATTTAATCGGGAAATTTTCAAAATGCTTAAAAATTAATAAAGTCAATATTAGTGTAAATTTAAAGTGGACTTAGTAATTGAGAGATGATATTATTTTTAATTAAAAATGTATCATCATTAAATGGTGTTAAAATGGCTCTGTTTGTTGCAATTTGAACATTTGAAATGCCTTTGATGCATGGGAATACAAAATCAATATTAAAAGTAGTTCAAATTAGTTTGAAGGAAGAAAGATAGAATCAAATGGAAAAACAGAGTTTAGTGTATAATTATTTCCATCAAACAACCATTCTGGAATTTAGGGTTAAGTTTGTTTATTTGCAATTAAATTTTTTAAAAAACATTTTATATGCTATGGATGTAAAAATAAATTGTGCTCGGTGACCATGTAGGATAATTGATAATGTTTGATAGAAGTCACCACTTGTAATGCCATTGAATGGAGAATTATTTTGTTTCAAGTTTCTCAAATAATTATCAATTTGACTAGTGATCAAAAACCTTCATATAAAGTTTTAGATTATAGGTGAATTTAAATGTACTAAAAATTTTATCCCATACATTAGCTTAATACTCTTTGAATTTGATGTTTTATTTCACATGTCTAGAAAATAATTTCCCCTTTGTCTTGGTGACAATTTTAAACTACCAAGGTCAAAAATTTGATTGTGTAGCCATCTACTTACCTTAGCCAATGTTTACTCATAGCCAAATTTATATTGCATTTTCAAAATGCACATCACCACAACAATTAATGATCAACTTGACACAACTCATACACAAGGCCACTTAATTTTAATCAATCCATCAATATTGTATATAAAGAAGCTTTATATTAACTAGTTCCCCCCTTACTGCATACATTAAAATATACAAAAGAAATATATGTTCACATATTCACTTGGAGTTTCTCATCTCTAGATAAAGCTCTCTATTGCTTTTTTTTTTTCAATTTCTCTATAACTAGGTCTTTCGGAACATGAGGTTACCTAATTTTAGAAGTGAGAAACTTGTCCTTTGACATTTTCCAATAGCTTGATTGCACATGGAATATCAAGCTCCCAACTTTTATAAATACTTAATATATTTCAAGGATATTCAAATTCGAAACACATGGAGGCTCATACTTTATAATACATTTACTTATAGATTGATCACAATGCTTTATAAAGAATAAAACAATGTTAACAATATAGTTTAAGCTCAGTATTTATGATCCAAATGTGAGACAGCATACATATATTGAAATACCTTTATATTATATTTTTAATACAATTTTCATATATAAAAATTTACCATGATTTTATAATTGAAATATCAAATAATTAACTATATTCAATGAATTTGTTAATGCTATAAGTGTCCAACCCACTTTATTTTATTGATGGCCCTAATGACAGTGGCAAAACATAATGATAATGTACTTTGAGTTCCATACCTAAATAGTAACAATTAAATAAGCACACCATTAGACTTTATATACTTCTTCTTTTTTAGGATTTATATTAGTTGATATTTGACTCAATTTTCCTCTCTC